CAGACGGAGAAAGATAGAGATGGATAAAGAAAAAGAGGACAGGCTATGATTTGAATCTGTATCATCTTTATGCAATGTTTTGTCACCATACTATACATGAACAATTGCCAAATAAACAACAGTAACATCGAATTGATCAAATTTGCGGATGATTCAACAATAATTGGGCTCATTCGGGCCGACCATAACGAAACTGCTTACCGGAATTTTGTACTAAACTTTTCTGAATTATGTGAAAATTATGAGCTGCTTTTAAATATTTAAAAACCCTAAAGAACTTGTTGAATTTAGGAAAAAGGTTGTTACAATAGACAACAAACTCAACTGGCATGTCCACACTTTTCTACTGCATTAAAAAGTGAACAAAAGACTACTTTTTTAAAGGAAGCTCATGTATTTTAAAGTTGATAAAAGGGAGCTCTCGTGGCCCAGAAGTTAAGGTGTTCGCCTCTCTCGGGTAGCGACGGAAAATTTTCTTCGCTCAAATTTTCTCCTTTCACCTCCTTTCCTGCTCTTTAACAATTTTCTGTCGTCTGCTTTTGTCTCCACTTTCAGACCCCACCCTCTCATCTCCTTTGCCCCTCCTCTTTCTGCAGCCTTTCTACTGCTTCTCCTTGGCTCCTTCTTACTGCTATCTTTCAGCCACACCCCTGATCTTATGGTAGGTAAGATCTACACCTTGCCTTCTCGGACAATGATGAAAAATCTAGGAGGTTCCGTGTGCAAGTTGCGCTCATTAAAGATCCCTTGGTCGTTCAAAATCGATAGGAGTGGAGTAGGCTTCCGCTGCCACCCAGGCAAAATTCAAAATGTCCGACAAACAGAAAACGTTTGGTGTGTCCTGCGCACTCATGTGACCATAGGCAGTAGCGAGCGCCATAAAGCACTTATAAAAAAAAAATTTTTTTTAAAACAGTTGATAAAAAAACATTGACATCCATATTCTATCATTCAACCATAGAAAGTATGATCAATTTCTGTATAACAGCACGGGCCAGGAACACAAGGCAACAAGACAAAGAAAAATTAAATCAATTAATACGGAAAGCATGCAAAATTTCAACATATTCCCCTACTCAGATGAATTGTACAATACAGCCTGCACTAAGAAAATTAATGCCATCTTTTTTTACAATAAACATCCCTTGTTCCATCAAATAAAAATATCAGTTAGAAGTGTGTGTGTGTGTGTGTGTGTGTGTGTGTGTGTGTGTGTGTGTCAGTGTGTGCTTGTGTGCGTGTAGGTGTGTACGTGGTGAAACATCAAACCAATGTACCAGGATCTGTAGTTATAATGAAAATTACATTGTATATCATTTACTCAGTTCATAACCAGATTGTAGAGAAACAGTGTATGGTAACCTGTCCATCAAAGGGAACATCCTGACAGCACAATATCCAAAAGTTTTTCTTTAGTAGTAATCGATTCTCAGAACATCAGATAATTATGCAGTTCTCATAATTAGGAACACCATCTTCCAAACCCGTTCCTCTTTTTTTTTTTTTTATGCAGGTTTTTTATCGACACATAAACCCATTCTTCCATAAAAATAAAGTCAATGATGTTAAAAGATGAAAACCAGAAGTATTTGAAAGTACAGCCGAATCTACTCTAATGGCCCCCAGTCCAGGACAATCACACCTGTACGAACGGCCAGTTTCTATTTCTTCCCTAACATTTTTTTTTTAACACATCATGACACTGTGTAAGACTGTCTTTACAGCCACTTTTCTCCTCAACAATGAGTGGACATCTTAGACAATTTCGACTGTACTCACTTTCGCCTTTGAGAGTGGCGTTGGAAGTCGAGTGGTTAAGCTACCGGACTCGTAATCATGAGACTGCAGGTTCAGGAGTTGAAGGCTCAGCTCTATCAACTCTCTGTGAGGTTGTATCTTTGGGAAAGGCACTTTACACAAATTTATGCCATTTGGCTCAGTCCTGTCGGAGATGGATATTAAATTTGGAGGTCCTGCCTCTTAAATATTTTAAATGACAGTGTTGCAAGGGGCGTTAAATCTATTTTTTTCACCTTTGAGACAGCTCTACAGAGATTTTGAAAGTATTGATTATAAATTAAATAATTCATCTCCACCAAAGTATCATACTACGTTTCAGATACAAATAAATCAAATTAACATTTTAACTTCAGCAGCATGATTTATTTTTTTTTTTTAAATAGAGAGCAAACCGTTCATTTAAAAAACACAATATTTCCGGAAAAAAACTTTTAAAAAAAAAGCCATGACTACTCTCAGTATTCCTGTGACCATTACAACTCACTTATAAATCCTTGAACGTTTCTTATAAGCCTGTGACAGATACACTGCTGTTGCAAAAATTAGAGCTTCAATTCTTATTGCCTAAGAATAAAAAGAACAAACTTATGGGCCAAAAAAGTTAGTGGTACAACAAATAACAAGGTAGCAAGATGAACAAAAATATAATAGAGCAATACGACTGTGCACCTACATGAACAAACACAAAACATTCTGACTCACAGCGCACTCCTTGAACTTCTCCTCAAGGTACTCGTTGGAGTAGCAGTTACTGTCCTGCACTAACTCATGGTGGCCAGCAACCAGAGTGTCAATCAGCTCGCGGAGATCTTCCTCGCTGTAATCCTGCCATGGACAAATAACCGACAGAGACAGAGAACACGGGGAGTCCACGGACTCGGGGGAGAGAGACATGGATACCGGGGAGAATGGACACGGCATCAAGGACTCCCCACTCAAGTCACCCCCATTGGACCGGTACATCCCGCCGTGAGGGTTGTTCACTTCCCCAACAGAGGGTGGGGACATCAGAGACGAGCACTGCATCGGGCTGTTAGCTGCTGTCCCACTACAGTCTGCCGGGGAGGTAGGGACGCTGTCTGGTGTTGCCTGCATGCTACTACTACAACTACTACTACTGCTCTGAGATCTGATCTCAGAGGGTTCTGCTGGCATGTTCACCAACTGCCTTTGAAACGGTGCCTCGCTTAACAAACTGTCTTGGGACACCTCAAAATCAGGTCTGGCACCTGTTCTCACTTTCTTCCCAGCACCCTGTAATTGCTCCCCTGGTAAGCATTCAATTTCAGGAAACGGCGAGGATGACGTATGTGTATGTGTGGAGATGGGAGAAGCTGCGAGAGAAGTCAAGGGCGATGCTGCCAAAGATGAATTCCCTGACTGGGTACTCAAGTCCATGGGGGGAGGTGGGGTGAGAGAACTGGTCTTAGGGGTGGGAGCAGGGGATCGTTTCCTCAAGTTCTCTGAGATGGCCGCGGCCAACCTGCTGGAATGGAAAGCCCGGAAGTCCTGACTGCTCTGTGAAGCCTCCTGAAGCATCTGGATCTCCAGTGTGTCTTGAGTCCTCTTCATGTAAGTGTAGCGTCCCGTCTTGATAGCTGGGGAGAAAAATACACATTACAAATGACCTATTCAAAAAGAACTATAACAAGAGTAATAATGAAATAATATTAAGAATGATAATAATAATAAGAAGAATCAAATAATGGTAATGATAAAAAGACAATGTGGATGACAATGATGATGATGATAATGATGATAACATGTTTTATGTTTTAATAATAACAATATTATTACAATAATAACAATAATAATAACAACAACAATAGCAATAATAACAATAATTAATCTTTTACATTTACAGCATACCTTCTTTGTTTCCATTTAAACTGTAAACTTCTCATTTCAAAGCACGTTAATCAATTCTCCCTTTTATGTTTGTACCATTGAGTGAATCTTAGCTGCTATTAACTGGCGTTGGCAGTCTAGGGGTTAGGCTACCCAACGCTAAATTGTGAGGTTGCGAAATCGAAGGTTCAAGGCTAAAGTCCCCTGAAGATACTCCTCTCTGAGAACGGGGGTTGATTTTTAGCTGTGTGAAGTATTAGTGCTTTCTGCAAAAATATTTACTGAAAGATAAATTAAATTCCTTCAAATATGATGTTTTCTGAAAAGCCAATAACACCAAGCAGGTTTTTAAAAATCTGGAAAGAGAGAAGCTAGGATTTTTTTTATATAAGGTTATCTACAAAGTAACAAAGGCTTCTCTCAATCGTGATTTTCTTAGCCTCATTTTAGGCTATATCTGAGAAATAAGTGGTCAGTGCCACTTCAGGATATCAGGCTGAAGTTAAAAACATTTGTGTCACAATGTGGGGGAATCAGGCACTCGGCAATTTTTGGGCATATGGAGTTATTTGTACCATCGTAAAGATTGTTCCTTTGCCTTGCTTTTGACGAGAAAATATCAAGATATTTGCAGTTGAAGGAGATGGGGTCGCCTGGTTTCAGAAGTAAAATTAGCTAGAAAATGGCCTCCAAAGCTAGGTGACTTCCATAGCTTGAGAGTCCTTGGAAATTGCAAATTTACATTTTTTTTGTGCCTTTAATCAACGTTTTTCCATAAAATCCACACATGTACGACTAAATGTAAGTGTCTTTGAAAGGACATACCAGGTGTTGAGCCTTAAGAAAAATCAGCAACCTTTAGATTGCCATAAAACTTAAACCCAGAACCAGAATATGTTAGCCAAGTTTGCCAGTGATGGCCCCACAATTCAACATTTACATCTCAATTCAAAATTTTCATTGAGAAATAGAATGAATAAACAAACAGATTTTTACCAAACAAAAAAAAAAGATAAATAAGACCCACAGAGGGCATACAAGTAAAGGCTGTACATTTCTAAAAGTACAACTGCTAGTTTTTAATAAAGTAAGTGACACAGGGCAAACCGATAACAACAAATAACATTTGACCACACAAATTCCTTTTTTAACATAATATGTTAAAAAATGGGGACAGCTGAATACTTTTCTCGTTGAAACTGTCCATGAAAGACCTACCCTTTTTTTCTTTTTACCTACATTCGACAATAACACCATACCAGGACATGTATTGTTCAAAGGTCTTTCTTTCTTTTTTAAGGAAAGACAACAAAATTATGTGTGGGCAAAGTGGAAATACAACTTATTGTTTCTTTCCCCAAATATATCTAAATGTGTTCACTTGAGTTTTGTGGATAAATAATGCTTTCAGTTTTTTTTAACTGTGTTCTGTGTCGATGTTTTAAATACTAAATACTTTACTTAATAAACAATGCGGCTTAATAAAATTGTATGCCTTCTGCATGTCACATATACGCCGCTCTTACACTGGAATATTTGTCCATCTGTGTCATAGAATCTGTAGTAGTAGTAATAAATTGTTAAAAGCTGAGAGTCTACTTCCCAATGGGGAATGCTGCACGTTTAGTTTTACGGAGAAGAAAGTGAGACTCTGCAAAACCTCTTTTACAGACATTGCTTTGGCTTCCTGTTGAGAAAAGAATTGTGTACAAGTTGGCCACCCAATGTCACAAATGTTTGAATGATAATGCACCATCATATTTATCCAATCTGTTAAGACTGTACATTCCAACTCGCAGTTTAAGGTCATCAGCTGACAAAAAGAAATTTATTTTACCATCTATGAAACTTAAAACAATAGGTGAAAGGGCATTTGAAACCCAAGAGAGATCAAATTTTTTATTCATT